ATGAGCCACCGTGCCTGGCAGTGTGTTTTTCGTGTACTTGTTTACTAATTGTATTTTCTTACTGTGTGAGTTGTTTATTACTATTTTCTCATTGAATTACTTTTTCTTTTCTTTCTTTTTTTTTCCTTAATATTTTCCTGGTTAAAAATGTAATGTTTGTTCACTTTAGGAAATATAAAAGATAGAGAAAAGAATAAACCTTGCACATTTAGAGCATAGCACTTTAAATAGCAAATACCATGTTTCAATATTTGTTAACAATTTATAATAAAATAGCTTCATAGAAATTCAGTATACTATAATATTTCCTTCTACAAATAAACATTGAATTTTTAAAAATATCTTCAAGATTAGTTGTCTATAAAATATCAGTAAAGTGTGATCAAATTGATAGATTCTATTACAGTTCTGTTCTACTTCTGGAGTCTCATATCTACCCTTATTTTTAGGGACCTACTGACCCTCTGTGCTTTTTTTGTCATTCAGAAGCAAACATTGTTCCTTAAACACAAAATAGTCTGTGAAATCCAAAAGATAAGGGAATATACAATAACTGTGATAAGTCTTCAAACCAGAGTCTAGTTTTCCTGTTGCTCTTTTTTCTCTATAGGTCCCGGGGCTCCTGGGACAGTGTTATTTTCATAGCTAAGCTAAAATATTGTTATTGTAGACCCAAAATGAGGCCCAAAGCTAAGCTGAACAGGCTGCAGTTTTGTAGTTGACTTTCAGTCACTTTAATGTGCATCTTTAAATGCCCTTTAGATGAAACCATCTGACCATTTTAGGCAGGAAGAACCTATTCACCACAGAACCTCATGTAGTCAGTAATCTACTCTTCGGCTAGTTAGCTAAGACTCTTCAGTCCCATGTGATACAACTTCAATTGGGTGAAGGCAGCAACAACTAAGGACCAAGAGTAGAATATAAGTCTGGCTTATTTATTTGGCAGAGTACTTTCTCTAGATCAGGGGTCCTCAGACTTTTTAAACAGGGGTCCCTCAGACCATTGGAGGGCTGGACTGTGGGCCCTGGGACAAGTCGGCTGCTAAGCAGGGCAGGCAGTGGTGGCAAAAACACCCGGCAGGCTGGATAAATGTTCTCAGCAGGCCACAGTTTGAGGACACCTGCTCTAGATGGTTAGCACAGTCTGGTCAGATCCAGAGATGATAGAAAGAGGTGGGTGGATTTGAATTCAACAAGCTTCCCCATTTGCTTTGCCCCAGGATGTAAATATTAGTGCAGGGGCTGCAACTTGTTTTTGAGAAGAGAAGCCTTGTCCTTTGTTATCTATGTCACTTACTCTCCTGGAATGTTTTGTTGGGACACAAGTAGAGACGGTATTAAACTAGGAATGAATTTTGACAGTTCAGAGTGAGAGCTTCTGATTTCTGCTGTGCAGCACTCCACATCTTAGAGCATCTCAGTATGGAATGTTCTTAATACTGTTGAAAACAAAATGAATTGGGAAGAGAAGAACCTCTAAAATATGTGTGTTTTCTCAAGAAATTATACCTACTATTACTTTTGTATAGAGGTGTACTTCTATATCATGTACTTGAGAAAATATATAAAAATAGACAATTCTAAAGGATAAATACAGGTATTACTCCATTTCTGGTTTGTAGCTAAGCACGGGTATGTACATACATGGACTTACTTGAATCTCCAGGTTTTTCCCAGCAAACAGGATCTTTATTGGTGGTAGAATCTCAGGTCAGCTTTCAAAGTCTACACAACCTACAGCTTACACCAATAAATTCTAGGACAAAGAATCACTGTCGATAACAATGATGTTAAAGGAAAATGTGTTTAGAATTCTTGTGTCTCCTATTGTTACACTGTAGTACAGAAAGAGGGCTTTGATTGCTTTTTTCCCTTCTTGGGCCTCTGGCCCTGTGTTCCCTAGATTGGGCAGGCTGTGATTATAAGGAAGAAAGGATCTTGGAGATGAGAACTATATGGATCTCCTATAAGTGAAGGTGAAGAAAAAGATATTGAAATTTCAGAATGAGGGAGAGGAGTTTGTGAAAGGGCCACACTTAAGGGTCTAGGGGTTTATCGAATAATTGGGCTTCTCCATTTTCTAGTCCCCAAACACTGGCATTTGGATAAGAAAAGGAGCTGGAACTGGCTGCCTTCTCTGTCCTCTTCCTGCTGGAGCTGTCTTATTAATATTATTATAGGCCACACTGTTGACATTGGGCAAGAGAGAGCTGGGAATAAGGAAGATGAGTGAGAATTATGGGTGGAACACCTAGGACAAGGTGGAGTTGTCCTAAGAATCTATAGAAGAAAGGGAAAGAAGTAGGGTTAAGAAGAAAGGAAGCCTGTGTTACCCTCTGAGCAAGGAAGCTTTCTTATTCCTGAATGTGGTAAGAGTTGTGCCCCAACCATACTGTCCTTGATACTGTGCAATCATTCCAAGATTGTTAATCTGATTTGATTATGTTACAGGGTAAAAAGCCCTCTGGGTGGTAATTCATTAGTGTGTGTTACCTCTGTACTGTATCCTTTTGAAATATTTTGTAATAATAATAAGACAAGGCTAATGGATTTGGTAGGAGTCTGTTCATACCAAACACATGATCAGTTCATTAGTTTTGCAATTAGGTAAATAAAACTGAGCATCTCTGGGAGGCAGAGGCAGAAGGATTGCTTGAGCTTGGGAGTCTGAGACCAACCTCAGCAAGAATGAGACCCTGTCTCTACTAAAAATTAAAAAATCACATAGGCATGGTGGCAAGTGCCTCTAGTTCCAGCTACTTGGGAGACTGAGGCAAGAGGATTGCTTGAGCCCAAGAGTTTGAGGTTACTGTGAGCTGTGCGGACACCATGGCACTCTACCCAGGGTGAAAGAGTGATACTCTGTCTCAAAAAAAAACACACAAAAAAACTGAGCATTACTCATATGACTGGTAGAGATTTATATTACCATAGAGATTTGTATTACTACAGAATTTGGAAAATTATTATATTTCATGCATTAAGTCTTTTAGCAGGATATTTTTAATTACAAATGTGAACACACACTTTTCCACTTATTTGTTCATGGTTTTCTTGACACAATAGCTACTTTTTTTTTTTTTTTTAACAAATTATTCAGTTTCTGCTCAGTGCCTCAAGAGGCTAAGGCGCCAGCCACATACACCTAAGGTGGCGGGTTCGAATCCCCAGCCCGGGCCCGCCAAACAACAATGATGGCTGCAACCAAAAAATGGCCAGGCGTTGTGGCGGGCACCTGTAGTCCCAGCTACTTGGGAGGCTGAGGCAGGAGACTCGCTTGAGCCCAGGAGTTGGAGGTTGCTGCGAGCGTGATGCCATGGCACTCTACCCAGGGGGAATAGCTTGAGACTCCGTCTCAAAAAAAAAAACCAAATTATTCAGTTTCATATAGTCATCACCCAACTAATAGAGAAACATCTGAAGAGTTTGCCTTCATCTGTTCATAGCTTTTTAAACTTATCTTTTTCAAAATTAGAAATTCAATGTAATTTTATTTATTTGTTTAGTTTTTATGGCTGCAAACATCTTAATTCCTTGATAGGCCAATTATAATGTGTGACTAAGAACTTTATTTTTCAAACATTACATTTGAAGCAGTAGGTGGGTGGGTGTGGGATTTGGAAACAATATGAACATAACATTGTTTGTTTTTGCAGACTTTGTAATTTTCTTCTGGAAAATCCAGATTATCCAAAGAGAGAAGATAGAATCATTATAAATCCCAGTAGTAGCCTGTTGGCCAGTCAAGATGAGACAAAGGCAAGTATTATGCTCTCGTTTTGCAGTCTCCACTTGGAAATTCTGTGCTTTTAGGGTCCTTTAAATAGGAAGAAAGCCTTTGTTGAGACAGCTTTTTAAAAAAATTTGCAAAAGGGTGGATTTCCTGAGCTCAGGAGTTTGAGACCAGTCTGAACAGGCCTCTAAAAAATAGCTATGCATTATGGTGCCTGTAGTCCAGCTACTTGGGAAGCTAGGGCAAGAGGATCACTTGATCTAAGAGTTTGAGGAGGCTGTGAGCCATGACGCCATGGCACTCTACCGAGGGTGACAAAGTCAGACTCTGTCTCAAAACAAAAATATAGCCAGGTGTTGTGGTGGGCTCTTATAGTGCCAGCTGCTCGGGAAACTGAGGCAAGAAAATTGTGTGAGCCCAAGAGACTGAGATTGCTATGAGCTATGATACCATAGCACTCTACCCAGGGGTGAAAAAAGGAAACTCTGTCTCAAAAAAACAAACCCCCAAACAATTTCTGTTTTGGAAGAAGAAAACCTTGCTGAAAATGCAGACAAAATGGGTACTAACTTGAGAAATGAACTCATGAAGCTACCTGCTGATATTGTCACTGCCCTTAAAAGAAAGGGTTATTAAATGCTATTGTTATTTAAAAAAAAACAAAAGATTTAGATGCTTGGAAGGTGTGTCTACAAGTCAGAGATAATGGACTCTGGCCAAGCCAACCCATGGTGACATCATGAGGTTTGCACCTCCACTAGGAGGATGAGTTTGAGAATCCATTGAAATCCTTAACAAGACCATCTTATCTTTTTGAGACCTCCTGCTGGAGGGAGCCTGCTGGAAATGTGGTCTAAAAGCTCTGCTTTTAATGCAGGCACATTTCACTCCTACATGTCTTCAAAGACTTTTTTTGAACTATATATTTTTTTTAAATTGATACATAACAGAATGACATTTATGAGTCTGCAGTTTGCTGTGTAACATAACTTAAGAGAATGTAATAGCATCTATATTCAGTGTAATGTTTTTATGTGTGCATAATCTATATATTAGATAGCAGGTCCTTTGGTATACTTTATGTTTTTATAATTTCTTTGTTGGTATAAATATTTCATATTTGAAAGTTATCTCTGAGCTATTACATAAAGGACTGATCAACCTTATAAAGTTAAATCATTATATAGGTGAGTGCAAAAGTATAGTTAGAGTGAACAATACTTGATAGCACAACAAGGTGACTATAATCAACAATAAGTTAGGGCATAGTTTAAAATAATTAAAAGAGTGGAATTGGAATGTTCCTAACACAAAGGAAAATGCTAAATGCCTGAGGTGAAGGACACCCCAGTTACCCTGATTAATACACGTGGTATACCTGAATCAAAACATATGTACCCTGTAAAGACACACAACTATTATGTACCCATAATAATTAAAAATTAAAAAGTTGAAATCACTGTAATAATCGAATTTTAGGAAGTAGGTTAAACATGAATTTTTTTTTTCTTTTGCAAAAATTCTATTTGTAAGTTAGGATACATTTTTAAAGACTTATAGGGGAAAATAGGATTTCAGTGTATCTATAGAGTGAGCTCTCCCAATCTGAGCTACTTTGAATTCTGTATTTAACTTCTGTCATTATAACCCTCATCTTCCTTCCCACAAAGAAATAAATGCTAAAGCAAGTTCCCAAAGTAAAATAAGAATTGGCCAAGATTCTAACATTGTATTATGAAAATTTGCAAATATACAGAAATGTTGAAATATTTTACATTGATCACCTATATTCCCACCACTGATAATCCCAAAAAGTTAGTGTTTTACTATATCCACTGTATCCTCCATCTGTAAGTACATCTTTCATTTCATTATAAGACGTTTCCAAGTAAATTGGAAAAACACCAACATGCTTCCTCCCCTAATCAGTACTTCTACATGCAAGTCATCCTTAAAGTTTAATATCTGTCTATAGTTTTTCTTTCAATGTTAGATTTGTATACAGTGTACACACCTGTCAAGCCACATCTTATGTCAAGATGTAAATGGTTTGGTTTTATAAACTAATCACTGCCTTCATTTGTGATTCAAATTAGCATTTCATATGTTACTTGGTGAAGGAAAGTATAGTTCAAAACTTCATTAAGGTCTATTGTTTCATCTTTCTACTCCCCCAGGTTCTATGGACTATCTCTTTTTGCATATTCTGTAGCAGAAGAAAATACTCTTTTCTAAACGTTTTGTGGAAAGAATATGGCTAAAAGATTTGTACACATCTCCAGCTATGGTTCCTTACTAGTTCTGACTACTACAACTAGTCTGTAGACTCCAGATAGGTTGTTTAATTTCCCCAAGTCACTGTTTCTTCATCTCTGTTACAGGGCTTTTAACCTCTGTTTAGAGTATTTAGGAGAACAGACAAGATATTCTTTCTTGTAATCATGTGAGTTATAAAATGTTTTCCCTGTGGGAAATGTACTATCTGGCCTCTGATTCTTGCTTCTCTCTCGTTTCAGTCGCCACGGGTGGACTTTTTTGACTATTCCAAGCTGGTTCCCCTTGACCAGCGCTGCTTCATCCAGGCTGCTGACCTCCTCATGGCTGACTTCAAGATGCTCAGCAGTCAGGACATCAAGTGGGCCCTGCATGAGCTCAAGGGACACTATGCAATCACCCGAAAGGTGCTACCCTCGGTCTTACTGTTGGGGTCACACTTCTTGACTACTACTACTTATGATAGTAGAAGAAAGAATTCAGCTTGTTGAGATTGGGATGGCTTATGATAGCAAAGAGCTAAGGAATTTGTCAGGGTGAGGAGAGATAAACAAAGTTATTTGCTGACCAGAAAGAACTGAAGATGAGAAGAAAGAGATAATAGATGAGAAGCGGGGAAGTTCTGGTTTGAGCATAAAGACATGGAGGATAATACATTTTACTGTTGAATGCACATGACTGGAGTATGGACAGTGGATTCCTGTCCTGCTCCTTTCAGATTTGCTTTCTTATGTGGGACAGGTCACACAGCCATCCTGTGGTGGTTTATTTGCAGTGCCCTGAGGTAAGGTCTGTAAAGAGCCCAGGAGCTATTAATGGTACATCAGAAGAGGTTGGGCAGCTGCTGACAACTCCCAGTATTTTACCTCAGGGTCCTAAATTAGATACTTCTTTTGGGCCTCTGTGTGGAGGGTCAGATGGGTATTGGTTCCTGGTGAGTAGCAGGAACCTTGGCATACAACAAGGAATGAGGTTGTAGTGGTGGTCAGCCAGACAGAAGGGTGGGTACCAGCAGAACCTTTGGTTACTCCTCTTGGTCTCCCTTGCTGTCACTAAATCATGTTCTCCTGCTGAAGTTCTTGTGATTCCCACAAACTCTGAATTATTTTCCAAAGGACAAACAAATGTGGAGTTATTTTAATGGTTAGAATTCTCTTGCTGAGTCTTACCTGAGGATGAACCCAGTTGAATGTACCTCATGCTGAGGTTTCCAAGATGAAGGCAGCTATCAGCAAACTCCTAATTATAGGTTAATTTCAGGAAAAATTACTCCAAAGGGAACAGCTAGTGCTTTGTATTTCTGAATCTCATTCAGCTTGCTGATAACAGAATGTGTACCGTCACTGAAAAGAGAATGATATTTCAAAAAAAGAAAATAATGACCACAAATCAAAAAGGCCTCTCTTCATCCTCAGGCTCTGCCTGGTGTCTTTACTGCTTTTGGTGATTATCCTTTGTGTCTTTTCTGAGCGCCTAGGCAGTCCCAACAAAAAGTTAGAGGGAAGCTACAGAAGACAGCCACTGGTTTAGGGTGGATCAGTCCTTGTTAGTAACATTCCTGCCCAGGAATGGGACTTACCCTGAGACCAGTTTAAGGATCTATACCTACAGATGTGCACCTTCTCTCCATGGCTCATCCCACAGCTCACTCATTTGGGTAGGAGGTCATAGGGGGATCTTCTGGAGACCTGACAGTCCTCAAGTAGCTTAAAGATGGTGATTTATTTAGTTCATCTCCTGAGCTTCCTTTTGTTGCTGTAATCACATGATTCTTTGTGACACTTTATCTGCTTTTAAGAGCTACTCCATACACACCTTATCCCTTTCCCCATCTTTCTGGTCCTTTATATTTTTTATGATATCTACTTGGTGGGGAGTTTGGAAATTTATATGGGTTTTGAAATGGAGTGGGTATGGGCTGTTTGAATTAAAGAGGGGTATTTAATGAGAAATAATTTTTGGCAGAAGCTAAAACATGATATGCCCAGTTAAAAGTTAGAACTTCACCCTCCTTAACTGCATGTAGTGGTAGTGAGGGCTCTGCCCTTTGCAAAGTGGCTGTCATGTGCAGGGGAATAAAAGACATACCTAGAACTTGTTTTTTAATTATAGCAATAGCACAAATTCTCTAGGATGCCCCAAACATGATTATTTAGGGGAAGTCATGCTTACTATGAAGACTGGTGCATTCCCTGCACTTTTTTCTGTTTTTTATCATAAACATCATGAACATGTGAAAGTAAAGGTTGTGTTAAAACATGCCCGATTGCCCATCACTCAGCTTCATTATAGGCTCATGCTTAGTTTTGTTTCATCTCTACCCCTACCCATTTTCCTCCCTCCCAATTTTGAAACAAATTGCATACATTTCATTTTCTTTGTCCACAAATACTTTAGTATTTATCTTTAAAAGTGCTTTTTAAAAACCTAATCAAAATACCATTACCCACTTTCAAAATGAACATCATCAGATAATCAAGTCAGTGTTGACATTTGTCTGAATGTGTCGAAAATCCTTTCAATAACTTGTTTGGTCACATCAGGTTTAAAGTAAAATGTCTTTATTACAGTTGGTTAATTATTACTTAAATCTCATAATCTGTAGAGATTTATAATCTCTCTCCTCTCATACTTTTTTTTTTTTTTTTTTTTTTTGAGACGGAGCCTCAAGCTATCCCCCTGGGTAGAGAGCCATGGCATCATGCTCACAGCAACCTCCAACTCCTGGGCTCAAGCAAGTCTCCTGCCTCAGCCTCCCAAGTAGCTGGGACCACAGGTGCCCGCCACAACACCTGGCCGTTTTTTGATTGCAGCCGTCATTGTTGTTTGGCGGGCCCGGGCTGGGGATTCGAACCCGCCACCTTAGGTGTATGTGGCTGGCGCCTTCTCCTCTCATACTTTATTTTTTCTTATAATTTATTTGCTGGAAAATGGATTGGTTATCCTATAGGTTTAGACAGACTAGATTCCACTGATGGTACCCCTGTAGTGTCATTAATGAGTCTCTCTGTCCCCTATATTTCCTGTAAACTGATAGTTAGATCTAGACTCTTGATCAAACTAAGATTTTATTTTTTTGGCTTAGGGAAGGCAGTTGCCTTAAATTTAATTCCAGTTCTGCCGCGTGGTAGTCTGTGACTTTGAGTATCTTATTGATGAGCTTTGGGGTTTTTTTTTAAGTGCATAATGAATATCTTATATAATCTATTACAAGAATTATAACTGAGAGGTTAAGGAACTAAGATGAAAAGTTATTTCAGGACGAAAGGAATTGGAATCCAAGTTCTATATGGGCAACATGGCCTTTATTCCACTCGGGTGCGAGTAAGCTGAGTTGGAAAAGTCAGTAATTGGGTTAAGGTGGATTGGAATGTAAACCTTGGAAGGGTAAGGATTGGCTCATTCATTCCTTCCTGGGTGGGACGTTCTATTTGGGTGGGTCCCTACATTCAGCCCTATCAATAACTTACATATAAAGCCCAGAACACTTGCCTACCACATCAGGTTTCAGAAAATAAGTTCTTGTCCCTTCATACTACTTTCTGTATGCTACATAATAATTTTTAAGCCTTTGTACTGTCATCACAGTTCTTAGCATAATAGTATAAGAGCTTTCTCATGACTCACTCTCCTTAGATTTGCAGCACTGAATTCAAGCTCGAGAGTGCTATGACCCATACAGGGCCTACTCTAATCTGTTTCTAGTCTGTAGTGTAGAGGCCCTGCATGCAAGGAGTGTCTGTATCATGTGTGCACACATGTGTGCAATTGTAAGTATTTTAATTCATCTATTTTTATTGAAGTATCTCGTGGATAGACTTCTTGGAATCCCCAGTATAGCTGCAGAATTTCTTGCCTTTTAATTTTTTTCTGATTATAAAGCTCTTTAGGGACAAAAATCCTATCTCATTGCTAAGTGTTTTTTGTTTATTTGTTTGTTTTGAAATCTGGTCTCCTGGCCTCAAGCTATTCACCCACCTCAGCCTCCAGAGTAGATGGGTTTATAGGCATACACCGCTGTTAAATGGGGGTTTTGTTATCTGCTTTTGGGGGAGGGACAGTCTCTCCCTCTGTCACCCCAGCTAGAGTGCATTGGCATCATCTTAGCTCAAATTCCTGGGCTCAAGTAAGCCTCCTGCCTTGACTTCTCAAGTACCTGGGACTACAAGGCACCCACCACCACACATGGCTAATTTTTCTATTTTTTGTAGAGACCAAGTCTCACTCTTGCCTCAGGATGGTCTCAAACTCCTGTCCTTAAGTGATCCTTGTGCCTTGGCCTCCCGGAGTGCTAGGATTACAGGTGTAAGCAACCATGCCTGGCCTGCACTAAGTGTTTTTAGTGAACAATTTTTAAACAGATGAACCCTTAAAACTCATAACAGAAAATATTTTCCTTGGCTCGGCACCTGTAGTTCAGTGGTTATGGCGTCAGCCACATGCAGTGAGGCTGGCAGGTTCGAGCCCAGCTCAGGCCAGCTAAACAACAATGACAGCTGTAATAAGAAGATAGCCAGTGCTGTGGCGGGCGCCTATAGTCCCAGCTACTTGGGAAGCTGAAACAAGAGAATCACTTAAACCCAAGAGTTTGAGGTTGCTGTGAGCTGCACTCTACCAGGGTGATATAGTGAAACACTGTCTCCAAAAAAAAAAAAGAAAAGAAAAGAAAAGATTTCCCTTTGCCTTTCTCTTGGTTTATCCCCTATAGTCTAGGTCTGATGAATTTCCTCTTGATTTACATATTCACTCTTTTTGGCTGGGGCTGGGTTTGAACCCGCCACCTCCAGCATATGGGGCTAGTGCCTTACTCCTTTGAGCCACAACGCCACCCTGCATATTCACTCTTGATCATTCTACTGGAATGAAAATTATATTCCCTCCAGTTTTTTCTTGATAATTCTGCCACAAATGGGGCTAAAGCTTTTGTTCAAACAGTTTGTTGAATGCCTGCCTCAAGGACACAGTGGGAATATCATAATGAACACATTATGATTACAAGGCCCCTTCCTTCATGAGGCGTAATACTAGCGAAATGTACCATCTTTTCAAACCTGCTACTTACCTTTGTTCTATAAGGTGGTTATTCTCATGGCCTCCACTTTCTGTGCTTTCCACATTTCACCCTCTACTCACAAATGACACCCCTTGTAGTGTTGCCAGGTCATCTCTTAAGGGAAATTTGCCTATTGTCTCAGATGTCCTAAAAATTTTAACCAGACTGGACCAGCCTGAGCAAGATCCAGACCCCATCTCTACTAAAAATGGAAAAATTTATTTTAAAAAGGGGAGGCTTACAACTTTATTATTAACCTGGATGGAGTTGGAGAACATTCTACTTAATAAAGTATCACAAGAATGAAATCTTTTTTTCTATTTTTATCTAGTATACTCAATACAACATGAAACC